CTAGGATTGTCTCCCAGTTCTCAAGATTCTTGGAGCAACTGTTAACATTGGAGATAGTATTATTCCTTAGCTGTCCATATTCTACATTTATTCTAGTATAAGTGTTAGCTCCTTTGACTATTCATAATCCTTCCTCCCTTTCTCTCTCCCTCTCTCCTTCCCTTGCTTCTTCAGATCTCTTCTGTAGGTCTGTGGGAACCAGTGGATGAGTACATGTGCAGTGCTGGCTGGGAGCAGCTTGAGAGCAGAGGTTTCAACTGTGTGCAAATGGAAGCTCATTTTTCCTATTCGTCTTTTCCACCCAACCTTCTGTAATATCAATTAGTGGTGAGAAGATGAGTTTGATGTACTTTAAAATTCCACAGAATTTTTAAACATTACTTAAAACTATAGAGGGGAAGAAAAAAAATCAGGTTTTTCTTGTCTAAAAACTAAGACTCTTACTTTTCCCATTTCATGACTAAAGGCATCGTCCCATGTATATGCTCCTTTAATTTCAGTCACTGATGGGTCACGGTTTTCTTTAAGTCCTTGCTTTAGTTATTTCTTAGTACTGTTTTGTAGCTATTATAAATGGAGGCAGACACACTCTGTGCTTTACTCCGTTGGGTAGCTTCAACAGTGTTTCCAAGATGTATCATGTCTTCTATAACATCCCACCATCATTAGGTGACTGTTTCTTCTACTCTCCGTTGGACACCTTTTCTCTTGCCTGATTGCTCTGGCAAGGACGTTCGACACTATGGCAAACATAAGGACTGAGTGTAGAAGTTTTGTCCTCTTCCAGAGCTCAGAGGAACAGCTTTCAGTATTTCAGTGTTGAGAATCTGTGGGCTTCTTGCATAAGGCCTTTACTGTGCTGAGGTGAAGGGCTTAAAGAGTTTTTCTCATCTAAACAAACTGAATTCTGTTATATGCTTTTACCCCACCCCGACCCCTCCACATCTAATAGGATAATCATAGAGTTTGTATCCTTCACTCTTTTTGTGTGATGTTCCTGGCACATTTATTGATTGGCATATTTTGTAACATCCTCATATGCCAGTAACACAATCCTGGATGTGGATGATCTTGTTGGTCTGGTGCTGCTATGTATTCAAATGCTAAATATTGGCCCCCAAGATCTGGCTGCCTCCAACAAATGATGCTGTATAAACCTTATTCCCCAATTTAAAGCTACTGGTTATAATAATAGTTGCTACAGCTAATTACTGGGGAGAATAGAAGAAGTAGATGAGGCTTAGCTTACTGGGCTGGGTACTAGTTACTATTTACTAATAGTTATTAAATAACATTTAAAAATTCCATGTATACTATCTGTTTTATATGGTGCTGAATTCCATGTGCTCACACGTGCTGAGGAATTTTGTATCTATGTCCATCAAGGATACTGGCTTCCCTCTTTTTCTCCCATTTTGCCTTCCTGGTGTGAAAGCCTCCCGTCCCCTCCCCCAGCGTCCTGTGTGCTGTGATCACAGGCATTACCAACCTTGCCTGACTTTTCTTGTGCAGCCACTGTCTACTTTTGGTGTCAGTGCAGTGTTGGATTCAGAGTTGAAAGTACAACTTCCTCTTTTACTTTTTAATATAATTAGATAGTTATACTTGTCTCAAGGAAATTAATTTTTCTAGTTTTTTTTGGTATTAATTATTCATTTTAGTCTCTTATAACCATGAAGCAGAAGAATTATCATTGTTAAAATGTTCACACTGCCCAGGATGTTTTGTAGATTCAATGTAGTATCTACTAAAATTCTAATATCGTTTCTCATAGAAATAGAAAAAAAGACTCTTTTATTTCCATAAAAGAGCCACCAAAGGTCTTAACTAGCCAAGCAGTCACGAGCACAAAGAAGAGATGGGGACAGGAGGATGGTGCTGATAAAGCAGTGTGGCATGCTGACCAGCAGTGCAGAACAGAGTCCAGAAATAAAGCCTGGCATGCAAAGGGAGCTTAACTAACACCATCAAGATGGCCCTGTAAGGAAGGCTCACAACCTGAACTCAATCCTGTTAACCATATGGTGGAAGGAAAATTCCTGAAAGTCTTTCTCTGACTTCTGTGTGTGCGTGTGTGTGTGTGTATGCACACACACACACACACACACACACACACACACACACAGTAATAAATTTTTAAAAATAGGTTAATAGGCAGAGAAAGGTCTCTTTAACAGTGTAAGGAAGACTGGATTTCCACATGAAAAACAATGAAATTGGACCCTTAGTTCACATCAGATATGATCATCACTTCAAAATGGATTAGAACTTCAATGTGAGAACAAGAACTCTAAAACTACTAGAAGAAAACAATAGGGAAAAACCAAATGACACTGGCCATGGCAGTGATTCCATAGTCTTACTCAAAATCCCAGGACTGAAACCAACAACAGTCAAACATAAAGCCTATATTTGAAAGCCACACATTTCATAAAGAATTACTTCCCCAAATATATAAGAAGCCCAAACTTAATAGTAAGAAAACAAAAATCCAGTTTAAAATGTGGGAAGGTACATGACTAGACATTTCTCAAGACACAAAAGGCCACATCATTAATTGAAAACAAACAGACAAGCTCAGTATTGGAATTCAGGGAGATGCAATTTATGGCAAAAATATGAAATTATGTTACCACTCTCAGAAAAGACAAGTGTCAGCAAGAAAGTAAAAATGGCCATTGCCATGGTGGTTAGGAATTAATTCAGGACAGCTCAGCCATTGTGGAAAACTGTGTGGAAATTCTTTAAAGAACTACCGTAAAATCTAGCAATCCCAAAACTTAGGGATAACCCTAAAGATTCGAAGTCAGGTGTACTGTCAAGTTATAGAAACAAGTCAAGTGTCTCATAACAGATAAATGAATTAACAAAATGTAGCATTCAATGTAATTCAGTCTTAACAAAAAGAAATGTGGTCATCTCCATTACTACACTCAGAATTGGAGATTATTACACTATGACCCAGGAATAGAATGGTATTTCTTCTCATTGATGTATAAACTCTAAAATAACTGAATTCAGAAGCATAGATTAGAATGTTGATAACAGAAGCTGGGGGTTATGAGGAATAAGGAGACATGAGATCCAAGGATAAAGAATCAGACTGAAGGAAGGTTTTCCCTTTCAGTTCTAGTACATTCTATAAGGTATACTGACAGTAGGTGATTATACAGGTCAAAACTTTTTAGATGGTAAATCTTAAATATTTTCCCCAAATATCAGAAGGGTTGGAGGTAATGGACACTAACTTGCTTGATTTACATTATTCCATAGTGAATTCAAGAGTTATAATATTTC